TGAGGAGCTTTTTTATACTGTAATCAGCAAGCCCAAAAATGGCTTCCTTGCTTTGGAGGGTCAGCTCAATAAGTCTGTCAGCACCTTCACCCAGGCTGATGTAAATCATGGAAGGGTGCACTTTGTACAAAAAGGGGAACTTTCATCAGGGGTCATCTACTTCAGTATCACTGATGGATTCCATAGACCACTCTACAAGCTCTTCAGTGTAGAGGTAGAGAATATCACCATCAGTGTGGTCAACAACACGGGACTGACTCTGCTGCAAGGCCAGACCACAGTGACTCTGACATTTGAGAACCTGGCCGCAGTGACCAATGAGAGAGATGCATCCATTAAGTATTTAGTCACAAGCCCACCAAGTCATGGGAGCGTCATGGTTATGGAAGAACCAGTCACACACTTTGACCAAAAGGACCTGCACACTGGCAGAATATTTTATAACATGACTGACCTGTCATCCCCTCGAGACTGCTTTGAGTTCATGGTTTTCACATCTGAGAGTAACCTGACCAACCAGGTGGTCAACATCACAGTCAAGCCACTGATCCACCTTGGAGAGCATGTCAGGATCCCAGATGGCATCCCAGTGAAGCTAAGAAAGGACGTCCTGGATGCAACAGAATTGGCCTCCCTTAGTGCTAGCGATCCCATCTTTGAAATCCTTGAGCCGCCAAAACATGGCAAGCTAGTCAAAGTCACATTTGACCTTGGAGGAGCCTCTCACTCGGTGGAGTCATTCTCGTTCAGGGATGTGGAACAAGGCAGAGTGGCCATTGAGGAAAATATCAACTTCCACGCCATTTATGGCAACACAACAGCAGCCAGGTACAATGTGACAGTGGTCCATCCACTCAATGACTCATTTGTTTTCCTTTTGAAGGCAGCCAATGTCCAGCCTGCCAGGGGCGAATTTGTGTACCTAGTATTACCTTATGACCCCATTACAGGGAAGCATATACTTTCAGAGCCGACCAAGTTGCCGACTTTGAACAGAACAGCAAATGTTCACATAGATCCATCAACAAGACCACACAGGACTGCTTCAAAGCTGAAACCTCGAAACCGCGGGGGGAACCACACACGAAGCAGATCTACGGTTCCTCATGGGCCCCGTACCACCATGGGCAAGTTGGACCCCTCCACGAAAAATACTTTAGTTAGGATGGAGTCTTTACCGAGACCTGCATCTGATCCCTTGCTCATTATCCTGCCACTTCTGGCCTGCCTTCTCCTGATTGTTATTCTTGTGGTTCTCATACTCGTCTTCCGGCACCGCAGGGAAAAGCGGGCCCACCCGGCAATGATACAAGAACTGACGGGGAACCCTGGTGAAGATATTTTAGCCAGAGGCCCATATCTGGGTCAGCCTGAGAGAAGTCTTGCTGTTCCTTCGGTTATAGTAACCCCACTCACTCCGAGTTGCCCTGGTAGTCCTGTTTTACAGGAAGTACATGACGCAGCCTTGATGCCAGCAATTGAACAAGCTGTGTCTCCATTTCTCCTTTGCACATGGAGTCCACTTAACCCTGATTCTGCCCAGCAATGTTCACCAACAACACCATCCCTTAAACAAAACCAACACTGGGTTTGACTCAACTCTTTTTATCACATCCAGATGTTGCTTGAACCAAATTTGTGAACTATCACTGTGCATGATCATCATCTGAGCCAAATCTTAGCATTACTGGCGGAAGAAAGTAAGCTTCTAAGGTTCATACCATACACTGAGAAACTTAAATATCTAATCACACTATTGCTGGAATTTGGTTTTTAACCTTGTACATTGAAAGTCTCTTGGCTTAGTATCAAGGGAAAGATCGCCAAGTAACTATAATTTTAACATTCATTTTTTATGTTAGTCCTATTGTTTCAGTTTTGTCTTGCCACAGCTCAGATGTTTTTGTGGTTTTGATAGTTTGTTTTGTTTCTTACAAAACACAGATAGCCACAAAATCGTATTACAGGGTTACAATATTTTGCAGTTACATTTTCCATTATACATTTTCCATTATACATACTGGTTAAAAAATTTTATAGCCTGAATGCACTGTAAGTCGCTTTGGATAAAAGCATCTGCTAAATGCTTAAATTATTATTAAATTACATTGTCGGAAAAAAATGTGCAGAAATGGTACATTTAGCTTGTCACCGAGCAGTACCCTGAAAGGTACACTTTTGTACCTTCTCTAAAACTATTAGCACTAATATGCACCCTTTATGGGTAGATAAGGTACAAAAGTACACCTTTGAGGGAACTACCCCAGTGACAAACAATGGGTTTTTGCACATTTCTCTCATAATGGGCTACAAATAGAAACAATTTTTTAGAGAGCAAACACCATATTTTATATAACTGGTTAAAAAAATGTATAGCCTGAATGCACTGTAAGTCGCTTTGGATAAAAGCATCGGCTAAATGCTTAAATTATTATTAAATTACATTGTCGGAAAAAAATGTGCAGAAATGGTACATTTAGCTTGTCACTGAGCAGTACCCTGAAAGGTACACTTTTGTACCTTCTCTAAAACTATTAGCACTAATATGCACCCTTTATGGGTAGATAAGGTACAAAAGTACACCTTTGAGGGAACTACCCCAGTGACAAACAATGGGTTTTTGCACATTTCTCTCATAATGGGCTACAAATAGAAACAATTTTTTAGAGAGCAAACACCATATTTTATATATATATAT